ATACTAAGGTACCATCAGAAGAGTATTAGTCAACAGTTTCTCATGAAGTCCAATTACATGTTTTCTATATAATTCCCTGACTACCCACTAAAATTTTGCTGATATTAGCCCATCCAAAAGGCATTTCAGGGACCGAGAGCACAGATAATATCCATTACAAAACCATTCTATGGTTTCTGTCAAATCTAAGTTAAATGCACAGTAGAGACTACTGTGGCTACAAAACTGCAGATTCAGGATATATATGAAACAAAGACACTATGTCAGTGCACTACTCTTTTCACACTGAGAGAAATTCAAACATGCGAAGACCGAACAGAAAAGAATGCATTTATTGGCATAACACCACCCCAACCCCAAATGCTTCTGTGACTGAACTGTAAGTACCTGTCTGTCCCACAGACATCATTGGTATTACCTGTCTTTCCTCAAATTGCTCATGCAAATACAAAATATCACATCTATTGGATTTTTAATTGAGAGAATAGATGATAATTTTGGGAAGCAAATTCTCTCCCTTTCTCTCTTCCCAGCCAGATTTTTAGGATGCTCCCCTTCTGAAGGCATTTAAATGGCTTGATGATTGAAGGCATAGGTAATGGCTACAAAGCCCTTCACCTGTAGGTCACAGGTTTGAATTCAACCCTAGCTGATCATGATGGAAAATTATTATGATGAGACAGCTGTTCAATGGCCTATCTGAAACATGCTGGTAGTCTCAGTCCAGTTCCTACTGGGCAGATGTTTGTATTAATAATATCACACCACTTAATTCAATGGCCTTGTTGGTAGTGTCAGAAAGGAGGCCAAGGACAGAGCAGACTCATGGACTGGGTTCATTCTCCTGACAGAGAACCAAAAGACCTTTGCCTGCATTAGGTTGATGCAAAATGATGAGTAGCAGTGGGAAACACAAGCTGTCACTAGCTTTACCAAACATGCTTTAGAGACAAAATAAGGCTTCTCCATATTACCATAAAAACTTCAACCAACTATTCCTTCAAGATTTGGATTATTTTTTAAGAATTCCTTGTTTCATTTGAGTTTGCATACCATGAAAAAAATACAGAAGACTTCAAGGTGGAAGCAAGGCTCATAAAGAATTCCAAGACCAAAAATTGCTGAGGTGTGGGGGGTAAAGATATACGTTTTGTTTCTTTATATTATCCTCATACACTCTTTCTCCAAAAAAAAGGATTGAAACATTTGGAGAAGAGCAGAACCTGTGAAGCATCAGCATAAGCATATTTCTTATTTGTGGGATCTCCAGGAAAAGTCATTAATTCATTGATTTATGTTACAAAAGCTGTCTAAGAGAGTACAACAAAAACTTAATGAAACAAAACAACTTAAGCACTAGCCTTAACCATAATCAGTGCTGGCACCTCTCAGTCAGTTCTGGAGAGCAAGGGATCAATTCCCATAGTTTTAGCTATGAGTAAAAAGAAAAGCAGTAAGCTGCTCATTCAGGAGTTGACTGGCAGCAGAAAAACTCTTCAAAATATTTAGAGATTCTGTGATATTTGCCCTTCGGGTTCATATGGCAGGGTTCATACTGCACAGCTCATGGGCCAAAGCTAACTAGGAAGTCATTACTGAAGCAAGCTTGGAGAGAGAAACACAAACTATCCTGGTTTGACAAACTTTTTAAGAGTTTTGAAAGAAAATAGCAATTTGATTATGTTTTTCCAATTAAGAAGAGAAAAATATATCTATAAACAAATTTCAAAAGAGAGATTGTGTTCCAGAAGCTGTAAGAAGAAAAAAAAAGCTTCATTGAGAAGACAAATGCTAAGAAATATCCCTTTTTCACTTGACTGAAAGTGATTGCATTTGATTATGACACTGAAAATTGAATGAAAAAGTGAAGGGTTATTTCTCTCAAATGCTTCTATTTTAAAATCGTGATTAAAGTCTTAGTGCAGTGCAATACTGTACAAACACACTTGTTCAAAGATAACAGTACTCAAACTTATTTTGCTATGGGCAGTAAGCTAAGAAAACAAAAAGAATACATTTGCTCACTGGGCAGATTTCTCTTATAAGACAAATAGCAAATTCAATCTGCTGTTAAAAAAAAAAAATTACTCCATTCTAAAAGCAATTAACTAGGGCATTTTCCCCCTAGCTTGACTTGTCAATCCTATTAGACCAAATTCTAATTAAGGGTAGCTATTTTATATGCCAAATGAAAATAATTTACTGCTAGTTAATGAATACTGGCTTATAACTGATTAGTCACTTTGATTCTGGCTTGTTACAGTGGTAGAAATTACCTTTAAAAGACACAGTAGGATCAGCAGTCATTTTCACACATTTGTTAAACAAACAATTTTCCTTTGTGACCAAGTTAAGCTATGGAAATATCTGAAAACATGAAAAAGATAGGTGTAACAGTTTATAAGTAGCTTGAAAAATATTAACTACTCCAAATAATAATAATAACAACTAACTATTAAGAATGGGTATATTTTCCCCACATCATGTCTGCAATACGTAGACTGACTAATGAAGTCCAAGCTCCTTTGGACCCTTTCCAAAAGGTCCACATTGTTCCTGTATTGGGGGCCCCAGACCTGGATGCAGTACTCCAGATGGGGCCTCATAAGGGCAGAATAGGGGGACAATCACTTCCTGTCCCTGTTTGCCACCTCTTTTCTGATGGAGCCCAGGATACCATTTGCTTTCCAAGAGCACACTGCTGGCTCACGTTCAGTTTGCCATCCACCAGGACTCCCAGGTCCCTCTCCACAGAGCTATTCTCAAGGAGTTCTTCTCCCAGTCCATATACATATCTGGAGTTACTTCAACCCAAGTTTCAAACCTTCACTTTGCTATGTTGAACTCACTAGTTTCACACAGGTCCACCTTTCAAGTTTCTTGAGGTCTCTCTGAATGGCATCCCTTCCTTCTAACATGTCAACTACACCCCTCAGCTTGGTGTTATCAGCAGACTTGCTGAGGGTGCACACCAGCCTGTCATCAGTGTCACTGATGAAGATGCTGAAGAGCATCGGTCCCAAGACAGGCCCTTGGGGAACACCACTCATCACCATCATGAGCACATGGACATAATGCCTTTCAACACAACCCTCTGTCTATGGCCTTCCAACCAATTTCTTATCCACCAAATAGTCCTCCCCTCAAATCTGTACCTCTCTACCTTAGAGATAAGGATGTGGTGGGGGACCATGTTAAAGGCCTTGCACAAGTCCAGGTAGATGACATCAGTCACCTTCCCTTTGTCTACCAATGTTGTCACTCCATTACAGAAGGCCACGAGATCAGTCAGACACAACTTAACCTTGGTAAAGCCATGCTGGCTGTCTCAGACTACCTGCTCATCCCTCATGTGCCTTAACATGTCTTCTAGGAGGTTCTGTTCCATGGTCTTCCCAGGCACAAATGTGAGACTCACCAGACAAGGAGCCACTTGAATTGTTCAGGAGGCACCCCAAGGCAGTTTGCATTTGGTATGCCAGAACATACTACAGTATATGCAGAAGAAATTTTATTTACTACCTTTTGAATGAGTGTATGGTTGTGTAGGTTTTGGCATTTCTCTATATGATTTAAAAATATTCAATACTTTCCCATCAAAAGATCCAGGGTATTTTCTAACAACTGAGTTCTGTTTTTGTGGCACCTTACCTTGTCTTCTCATGTGGACATAGGTACCCAAACGATTAATCAGCTTCAGAAAAAGTAAATTGAAAAACAAAGAATTCAAGATTGAACTGAACATCACATCACCAGAAGAGCCAGATTTATGACCAGTTTCACTCACACGAAGCAGATGTGCCTCTTCATAATATTTGCCACCACAGCATCGAAATCACACAAAGTAGCTCTTCTCAGACCAGAAAAGCCCAAGAGACTTGGGTAGATGATCTCCAGAGTAAAAACAGTAATAAAAATGCAACAGAAACAAAAAGAAGTGGAGAATTGAGGCATGACAAAAGAATCACTTTTTGGATACCACAAAGCTAATTTTTGCCAAAAATCTAAAATACATATTCAGAAATATACTTTAATTTTCTTAAGCAGTTGATCAGTTCCTCCTGAACTTCTAACATAAAGTGCCTAATTGATTTTGAATCTAGATTAAAATATTAGTTGCTTAAAAAAATACAGTGGTAAATCAGTAGACAACATTCCAATATTTCTTTAAGCAGCAAATTTATATTCTACCTAAAACAAATCAGCGTTCACTCTTGTCCCCTCTCTGCAATGATTTAAAGCAGCTGCAGTATTGATATTTTATAATATTTAGGCTTGACATTGAAAAACACACACTCTACACTTATTGACAGACTGTGGCTCAGGATACCTAATTTAAAGCAAGTCACATTGATGAAGGGATTTTGCTGGCCTCTGTATTGCACTTTTTATATTCACCTATACTTTTAGTTTATATAGGAGCCACAGTCATCAGTGAAAATTAAGAAGGGATAACACAGGGATATCCTGTGTGTATTTGATTTATGTGCAAGTTTCACCTTGACTTCAAATAGTAAATAAAAATCCACATCTTAAAAAGGATATCCTTCTAGAATTCAGGACTGTATTCATGTAAAGTGTGGTAAAATGCTTCTATTATTGAATCTATATCTACACCTATCACCATAAAATGCTCTGCATTTCAGTTGTACCTAGTTCCCTGAAATCCGAGAGTGTGTCGCTGTAGCACGCAACTGTGTCCTCAGTGCAGGAGTGTGTCCCTTGTCCTCGTACCTGTCAGAAACTGCCACCTCATGTATTACATACAGCCTATTCACGTGCAGGAAGCAAAGAAGTTTGCTGTCTCCATCAGGATATTTCCTAAGCAGCAGCATTCAAGTTCAGTTGCAGAAACAGATACAGATATTTCTGGTTTAAAACTGTGCAGCAACTCCACTGCTCTTTAATTTTGCATAGTCCCCCTGAAGCACTTTGCTGCTGAATAGCCTTTAATATGATTTGAAGCAAATACCACTCCAGGGCTTTCTCATCTTCATCACTTGTTTGTTTTGACCTTGACATTTATTCAATTAGAACTGATTTGCCAATCATGCACAACCCTTCTTAAAGTCCATTTCCATACACCAGTGAATAGGCCCATTCAGTTAGCAATGATCTTTCACCATGCCCAAAGTAAAAACGTACAAACCTAGAAGCATACAAAATAGCCAAGGTACCCATCACAAGGAATCCGCTACTTCTTTTCCTATCATTGCTCTCAGTAAATGGAAATGAAGTGGATCTATAAAACATCTTTTGGCAAATAATCAGCTCCAACATGGTCTCTCTGTCAGATTAATCAGTTCCTTGAAATCTGCGTCAGCGGAGGCATGCCTCGAGTTGGCTGAGGCAGGATCCGTCCCTGATTATCATGTCAGCTCCTTCACAGCTGGAGAACAGAGGAGAGCACGCCGTCCCTATCACGTCTGTCACACGCTCAGCTCGGGGAGAGAAGGACTTGTTAAGATTGTCAAGTACCATTCACGAATTTATGCCTGTGGAGTTGTTCCTCCTGGAAGAGAACCAAATAATTCATACTTTTTGAAAATTGCTTATGACAGCTTTTCAGTCTGCTTCAGGCTGGCTCTCAGTGATGATTTGTATTTTCATATACTCCTCATAGATTAAGAAATTTACACCTGTCAGGTCCTGACAGAGTGTCTCCATCTTCAACCTTTTCAGGGAAAATTCTTTGCTTGCAGACATTATCCAAATAAGTTTCTATCAGAAGTCTGGGTGACATAACAGGTGGAGGTGCAAGAAATATGTGGCAGACAAGCAGTGAATTTTAATGAGAGACAGGGGCTTCTGTGCCAGCATGAAAGGGATGGAAATTACAGTACTGATCCCTGGCACTTTAAACTGCATATGAAGCCCATGGGTAGTTGTTAGGAGAAGACATAAATGCTGGGTTGTGAAACTTTCTTTACTGCCCAGGTTGACATCAGACTTATTTCTATTTAGGAATCATGCTTGGTATCAAAGCAGTTCAGCTGACAGAGTCTTCATAAATAAACAGAAAGTGGTTGTTCCCACTGGTACATTTGTTTATAACATTGCAAAAGTTTTTCCCCCAGCCAAAGCAGAGGGGTGCAGAGCAGGCAGTGGGTGCAGAGGGACTCCTGGGCATGGAATTCTAGGCATTCAGCCAATCCAGACCTGAAGCTCCTTGAAAGGCTGACATCCAGGAAGATGCTCACTGCTTATTATGTGGGCTGGGCCACTCTGCTCTAGCTAGTCCTGCTGAAGCAGTGGCTGGACCCAGAGGTCCCTGCCAACCTCATCCATTCTGTGATTCTGTGACTCTCTGAGGTAACAATGATAAAACTAGGTATTCTGGTGAGAAAAAGAAATATTGGTAGTTTTGCCAGCTCAGACAGAGGGCTGGCCACAGGATGCAACAGCTCGTTCATCATGCTCATGTGGCTGCATGTCCTTCCCTTTGCCTCCTCCTCCCTCCAGTCCCAGCAGATTTCACCGTGCCTGAAATACTTGTTTTCACAAGGCAGACTGAATTTGCCTGAAATGTGGAACACCACGAGTGAGAAGCCAGGGAGACACCACTGAAAAAGCAGCACAGGGAGGCAGCACTTTCTGCGTAAGAAAAGTAGCACGTGAGGCCTTGGTGGAGCCATGCCTCCATGTCTGGGGCTACAGCTAAAAGAATCTGGGGCAGTAGCATGGGGAAGGACATTGAAGAGCCCACAGAGGTTTGTTTTGCATCACTGCTGTGAATGATGTCTGAATGAAGGGCTACAGAAAAAGATGACCAGGGAAGCCCCACATCTTCCCTTGCCCTTTGGCAGCAGAAGGAAGCAGCAGGCAATAGCCATTTTTTTATGCTCCATTCAGCAGCAAGCAAAAGACTGAGTGTCCCTAACACATTCTTCCTTCCCTGCAAAAGGATCTAGTTGGCAAAAGAAAAAGAAATGTGGAGCAGCACCATGCAGCTCCAGGCCTACTCCCTAAAAGAGCAAGTGTTTGAATTCTAGTGTTTTAAGGCAAGTTATTTTAGTTGCTTCCCTGCTGTAACTAGCCACAGTAGCACCGCTGGGCAGTAATGCTTAATTACCATTGCTGTTACAGTTTAAGAAATGGATGGATTACTAATGCTAAAAAGACACAATTTGGTAACTATAAATTAATGTTATTCAAATTAACTTTTGTTCATAAGGGGGCTTTTAATGTCACTTATCTATTCGATGTTTACTGCGCCTATTTTGTGACTGATGTGCGAACTGCTGAATTATTGGATTTCTTTAATCTTTTAAAATTCTTTTTTACTTGGTACCTTCTGTTGTACTTTAATGATCTATCATGCTAAATAAAGGGCTCGGTTAAAAGAAAAGACCCAGTTAACCACTCAACAGATTAATTTTCCTTCTTATGTAATTCTCACTGTGAGCCTCTCTTCTCCTTTTGATTGCAGGAGGAATAAAACCTCTGATATGTATATTAGCTCTTGAACCTCTTCCTTTTGCTCAGGCAAGATGTGCAAGTTTGCTTATTTCCAGCAAGTTTTAAAGGTAAAGGTAGCTGTAACATACATGTACACACTGTTGGAGCTGGAGGAGGCACTCGCTAGGAAGTTCCTGAAAAGGTCACTTCAGTCCTAAAGGCAGTCAAGTCAACCCCATTAATGGCATAGTCAGCTGCTGTCAGCATTATCTTTCCCAGAAGGCCATTTTTAGGTTCAGGCTACGGAATAAAAACTTCAGCTTTATTCCATTCAGAAATCCTTAACAAATTTACCACATTCAGATAGTCTTCCTATAAAAATGCTGCTTTACCTGATTGGGACAGTTAAACTATTTCACAACATAAAAAAAGGAAGTATTTCTTTCAGGTTTACTTTTTCAGTGGGAAAGTTCTCAGAATAGCAATCTTCTCCTTAAAAGATGGCACCTGCCAAGCACTGATATGGAAGATTGTATGTATCTGAAAACATACACAAACATGAAATGATATCATCCTGTATCAAGTGACTGTTTGTAATTAATTTCATTAAAAAATCAAAAAATATTTGTAAGTGGAGACAGACTTACTATTCAAATATACAGCAGTCTGTCAGCAATGGCACAGCTGATGAACACCTGCTCTAATTCTATATACGACATGATTGTCATTCTTTCTTTTCTAGAGGAGTTTTATGACGAGATTGGAGGAAGTGCAGACATAAAGACTGGGAGGAAGAGGAGGAAATCATCTGCCTGACCCTCTTATGCTGAGGCAGGAAAAGCTGGAACCTACTCTGCTTTTGAACAACTCTGAAAAATATCTTAAAACTGGCCTGAACATGATCAAATCTCAGCAATGAAAAAAACTGGGTGAAGACAAAAAGACTGTTTTATATGATATTATATTATTACTACTATTTGAAGTGACATTTTTACTTATATCAATAAAAGGAATGAAACTCCTTGTTAATGAGAAGACAGTACTACATCAGAGAAAGTTCCAAACAACACTGAAGAAAAAAAATATGAAAGAAAATTGAGTGAAATTAAAAATATGGGTAAAATAAAGAAAGAGAATAAATGCAGCTACATTCAGTCTATCTGAGAGAACCAGAGGAAAGAGACAAGTGAATGGAAATGTGTGAGACTTCTGACAGTTGAAGTGAATGTTGCAGATGAAGTGATGGTGAGTTCGAGCAGCAAATTGAGTATACTTGTAATATGATATAGATGCAAAAATTAATGTTTGTCGCTGCTAGTGAATGACAGGTGTGCATTCACATAATAGCAAGTTCCACTCCTTTTAATAAACTGATCTAATATCCTCCAGTTTCAGACACTGAAAATTTTGATAGCAAATCTTGATTTCTGAATACAGGAGGTGAGCTTCTCGTCTCCTCCCACAATACTAAAGCCAAACTCTAATACACAGCTTTTTCAGCACTGCTGGTCTGGAACAGCTCTAGTCCAGCTTTCTGTGACTTACCAGTTCACTTACATAGATTGCAAGGCAGTTAGTGATCCATCAGCAAGAGATAAATATAACATATATTTTTTTACTCACTCTACATGGATTCATATCAATTAAGAGATTTAAAGTAGCATTTAGCTTGTTTAAGACTAAATCCTCACATCTTCCATTCAGACAGTCCCACTACTTCGTTACTCATGTGCTCGCCTATTTCATTACATCACGTCAGGAACTACAATGTGTAAATTCCACAAGCATTAACTTTTTTTTCTTAGTTTTTCTTTTTTCGATTTATATTTCATGGCTCTTCTTGAACTTTTGGTAGCTTAAAAAAACAAGCAGTTTAGCAGTCAATGATCATCTCAAATTATTGCTCCTTGTTCTATTCAACTGATTCCATCAACAAATACACAGAAGCTGAAAATTATATCTACACAAGAAATGAGAATTTATTTGAACAAAGTTTACAGTAATTAATTTCATTTTTTAAACATGCCTGCCATGTGGCTGAAGTAGCTTTGAATAGAATAGAAATTTCAGCCCCAGTGCTGAAAACCATGACAAACTCCTTTTGTTAAGAAGCATATCAGGAGAATTACTGGATAAGAAGAGCAAACCAGTAGTGAAAGTATGCTGAATCAAATCCAGTTCCCTCAATGGTAGAAAGACTCTTCAAGCTGCTATAGATCATGTGCAAGAAAGCATCATGGTACAGCTCCTTCCTTAGTGGCAGAGGCAGCCACATGCCCTAGTGACTGCTCGGTCTCTCACACAACCCTTGGAAAAGCACCTTTCTCTCATACTTTGCTCTCTCTCCATGTCCTTGCCAAATGGCCTTCGACCAAAGGCCATAGTAGAACTTAGAACTAGATGCCTGAAATCAAAAGATGCTGGCCTGTTAAGTAGGCTTTACAGTGCCTGCAAGGGACAAACCACAAGCACCAGACACATTCCTTGATAAAAACTGCACTAAAGAAACAATCTCCAGGAAGACCAGCAGCCACCTCCCTGCTGGCATCACAGCCAGGCCACAAGCTCCTCTGCATATGGGCATTTGATGGAGGGCTTCCCCTATAGCTACCATTGTACCTTCAGCACACAACTGGGCCTGGGCAGGCACTGCACTGCTTTGTTCTGGCTTTCTTGCCAAGAAATGCCTGAATTCCAGCAGTAGAAGGAAAAGCTTTCCCATGCTGTGCTCTGATAAATCATGAAGCAACTGTTTTCTAGCAGATTGGAGTACACTCATTAGTAATTCATCAGCATGCTTTTCTTTCCTAAATACACGCTGCTTCTCATTAATGCACCACTGTGGTCTCACCCAAAGAAAGCAAGGGAGAAGCTGACAGTCCAGGTGTAGCAGGCATGGGATACATGTACTCACAATGGATAGCCTACAAAATAATAGGAATATCTGCATAATGAATTCATGCATTGACAAAGAGAGGACTGATTCACTGCCTTGCAGTTCCAGTTTTGTGCCAGGAAGACTTAGTGCGAAGATCTCCTAGGCCACACTGCCTGTACTCCACTGTGACTCTGCAATTTCCACAGGTTAAGAGATTAAACAGAACAGTTTCAGTGAAAGATGAAGAAAAAAAGTGCAAAATAATAATATATCTGCTTCCACCTTTTCTGTTGTGTTTTCTAGAAAACTGTCTGATACAAATTGAGCCAAAGCTGAATTAAATATATAAAAGCCCAGGAAAGAAATGAGAGAAAATAACATCATATTCAGGGGAATTCAGCATAGGACTACCAGTACTACTTCAGGATTAAGTCTTCAAAGGCCAAGTTCTTATAACCACATAAATGCACAACTCTGGCCGTTCTACTTTTATCCATGTCTAATATTTTCAATGTTCAGTGTCCTTCACAGGGCCAAAATGTCCAGAGGATTCCTATCCTTTTTTTCCTGTAGGATGCTGCTTGTTCTTCATGATTTCTTCAAATAGATTTATAGCAGAGCTTGTGCTCTGATAGACATAAAAGCCTTTTCATTGAAGATGACACAAAGTTTTACCAAGAAAAAGTAACTGTCTCTGCTTTGTCATACCTAGACATTCATTTGAGTTGTACACAGCACATTCTTCTTGTCTGTGCCAAGAAGCTGAAAAAAGGAAAAATAATTACATGGTCCTCAAAAAAAAAAAAAAAAAAAAAAAAGAACAATTCCTGAGATCTTTTCTTTTTGTCCCTAATACTAAACAGGGCTACTAACATGGATCAGCCTTTATTTCCTTTCTTGAATGTCATGTCATTGACACTGAACTGCCACGCAGTTTTAACAAATGGAGGAGCAGAAGGATATATAGCAAAGCCTCTTAAATCCCCAGAGTACTTGA